ATATTATTAAATAAGTAGATGAATTTAATAGTATAAAACTCAAATAAATAAATAAAAATTATTATTTAAATAATATGTAAAATTATACCAAAAAATAATATAAAAAAATTATTGCCAAATCTATTGAATATAATAAATTTTAAATAAATAAATAAATTATTATTTAAATAATATGTAAATTTATACTAAAAAATAATATAAAAAAATTATTGCCAAATCAGTTGATTTTCCTAAATCATTACAGTCAGTTTATATCAATAAACCATTACACCACCATTGGCGGAAGACGGTTCGCTGCAAGAGGCTGGCCGCCACCGTGGCACACCGTATTATCTTGTGTAACCAGGCTCATACGGTGGTGTGGTTATCCGTCATCGCCGATTCTTCCATTTTCAAAGGTACAGAAAGAAACAGGAAGCTCCAAAGCAGACAAGTTCACAACCCCCTCCCTTCCCCCAATATTGTCGGAATTCCAAGTTCGATTTCGCATAGAATCTTCTGTTGATGAATTGAATATACTTCTAATCAGATCCCTTCTTTAAGTCTGTAAGTGAATCTTTTGCTGTGATTCTCTTTGCTTTATTCCTTCTTAATTTCAAAAGCTATGGAATTTCTGCCTTGATGCCTCTTTTATCTTTCTCTTTAATGGGTATTGCTTTTTGTTGATGTAAATTTTTAAATTTTGCTGAAACCCCAGATGGGTTTGGTAATCGTGTTCATTGCTAATACTCATGCATCTCAGACTAAGTCCATGTCTATTGTTGAATGCATTCTCTGCTATCCATTATACTTATATGCTTACAAATTGGTTGTTTATCTATTCTTTAAGCATCCAGTGGACTGATTCATTTGCAAAAGTACTCAGGTTTAATGGGTGAGATGGAAAGGACCAATAAAAGCTTCGAGTTTTTGACAAGTAAGGACATTGGAATAACCTCGGACCAAAAGAAGGAAAGTGGAATAACCAAGGTTTTTGATCCAGCATTTTCTTCATCTCTTTTCCAGCTTCCTCATAAGCTTCAAAATTATGTTAAGGTTAGTCATAGTTTCTTTGCATGGGGTCATTCACTTTTGTCTAAGGCCATGATTATGGATGTTGTGTTTATGTAAGATTTTGAAAGATAATCATATTTTATTGTTACAGTCACAGTTCAACAAATTAGCAAAAGAAAATGAAGGAATAATCTCTGTAAATTCTTTTCTGGGGAAGGATAAAGGTTCATCTACTGCATTTGGGATTGCTCCGGAGAAGCAATTGCAGGCTTGGAGGGAGAATCCTTCATGGGTTGATCAACCTCCGGAATTAAAGGTAAGGAAGAAGTAGATGGAAAATTTTCTTTCTTTCATGGAACAGTGATAATTTTTCTTGATTTTACGCCACAAGCTTGGTGCATGCTGAGTGACTATTGTAGTCTTGAATGTTAGATCAGCCAAGATCTCCCTAAAACATTTTCATAATGCTATTTCATTGTGCATGAAGCATCTTAAGCAGGATCACTAGACAAATAAATCAGATATGCATTAGTTTCCCACTAAAGAACTGCTACAAAAGAGTTAGGATGCAGGGAAAGCTTCGGTCTAAAATCTGTGAAAATTTCTTAGTCTATTCATTATATTTGTTAGAATCTTCTACAGCTTCTTTGGATAATCATTATGGGGATCCATCATTCACACTAACATCCTGAATCTCATCATTCTTGGCAGGTCACTGTACCAAAAGGTTCTCTCTGCAACCTCAATGTAAAAGTTGATATTGGGTTGCCTCCAGATGCTATATATGATATTATAACTGATCCTGATAACAAGAGAGTTTTCAAGAATATTAAGGTTAGTGGAATGCTTTCACTCATGGTGAGGTTTCCAGATATAAGACTTTATATGATGATAGATGTTGTAAGCATTGTACTAGTTCTTATGTTATTGCTGCTTCTTAAAATTGTAACCTTTTAGGTATTTATCTTTTCAGGAAGTCATATCCAGAGAAGTTTTAATTGATGAAGGTCAGAGGCAAGTGGTTGAAGTGGAGCAAGCAGCTGGATGGAGATTTCTTTGGTGGTCAGGAGTCTTCTCAGTTCATGTTTTAGTTGATCAGAACAGAGAAGATCACTCGGTGAGAATTTCATTCTTTTTCCAGTTATTTTCTTTATGGATGTTTATTTCCTTTCACACTTTTAATAATGTTTAACTCCTCAATTTAAGGACACTAAAACTATTTTTACAAACAAATCTTTGGGGAGTTAATTTATTAGGCTGGTGCCAAAACTACATGACAGTGTCATCTCATGTTATGCTTCTACCATAGTCCTATCATTCAGCCTTATATGGGGCTTTATGTGATTTTGTTCTTCATTTAGCCTCAGATTCAACTGCTTTATTTAGGCTCATTCGTTCAGGTTATTTGATGCAAGTTTTTTGCAAGAGTTCATGCATATTGAAGAAGCTGTTTCTCGTATTTCTAATGACATGATTCATGATTGTTTGACAGATGAAATTCAAACAAGTGAAAACCGGTTTTATGAAAAAATTTGAAGGCTGTTGGAGGTTAGAACCTATTTTTGTTGATGAAAACATCTGCTTTCCGTTCAAACCAAAATCATGGGCAGACTATAGTTCGTGCACAGGAGGTAAAGGAAGAGTTGGATCAAAGGTGACCTTGGAACAACTGATCCAACCTGCCCTTGTCCCTCCCCCACCCATTTCCTGGTATGTGAGGGGAATTTCTGCAAAGACCATAGAGACAATGATTACTGATCTTATTGCTGAAGCTGCTAGAATCAGGGAAGGTTTCCCCACTATATGCTCAAAGGAAGATACACGATCTACAGGAATAAATGAAGAACACCAAGTTGATCAGATACGCGATATTAAAGAAAGATGGAGCATTCGTAGGAGAAATGCAAAGCAACGTCGGAAGCTATTGACTGCTTATTGATTAGTTCAAAATTCATCTGTAACCTGCTGCATTTGTATTTTGTATCATAATCATCCAGCAATAATATTATGGGCACTTTCCATTCTAGTTGTTGTAAAATTCTTCTCTTCAAAAATGTTTGTATTCTTTATAATTCTGAATAGATCTCAGAGCTCAGTTTTTCTTTGGTTTATCTATGTAATTTTACGTAACATTAGTGGAGGAAATATCTTGTCCTCTATGGATGCCCCCAACCATTAAGAGTAAGGTCAATGAAGTCTTGGCACTGTGATAAGCATAGAGCTTGAAACCATTTTATTGAAGTTTACACATCATACACAGCACAATGGAGTCAGGCACAAACACTACACGATCATGTTTAAATGTAAGTCCTCACTCTATTTATTGTTTTCTGTATTCCTTTCCATTCAAGGGTCCTACAATGTATCATCTATGTTACATATATTATGCAACTTTCAACACCTCAACTGGCGTGGTGTAGTTGGGGTTCAGCTTGTTTAGTCTATATATAAGCCTAAGAAGATGGATGCTAGGAATGATGCTGGGTTGCATAGACACTGCACTCAATACTGTCATTCAAATCTTGACTTAGGGGGCAGTAGATCTTATCTCCAGCATGGGACAGACTCATCGGGAATTGTTGTGTTGCTTGATCCACTGATAAGCCTTCATAACTCTGTTTTCCATAGCTCATGAATGTGCCTAGCGCTCCAAGAAACCCTTCATGCCGCAAGAACATCGCTTTGGCCTCACCTTTAGACCTGAGAATATGAGGGAAATGCAAGATTCATAAAGTTTGAAAGCTATGCTGGAAGAGAAGAATGGAAGAACAAGCAAGAAGCATTAACAGCAAACTGAACTGTGACCTATTGATAAAAAAAAAAAAAAAAAATCCTATTTCGAGCACCAGCTTTCATGGGGAGAAAAAAAATGAGCACCAGTTTTTCAAAATAGCAGCTTCAATTTTACTTCCAGAAATAGTTGTGTCCCAGGATGGAAGGGACTTGACAATTTGACATAAAGAACAAGGGAAATGAAATAAACATATTCAACCATCAAGTACAAAGACTTTCACTCAATGATGTCATCAGTAAAATGAAATGAAAAGGAATGAATATGTTATGCAGAGTGTGCATTGAAGAACTAATGCCTGAGTTACCAGAAATGAACTGCAACAGCAATTGTGTCCATGGTATATGCATGACCACGTATAAAAAATCCACCAAAGAATATCCGCTTGAGCCCAAATCGAAGTGCATTCAAGTAAGCAACCTGGGCCAAGAAACAGAAATGATGCCAGGAAATATCTATCACTACCAGAATGACTACAAGCCACTAGAGTCCAGATCTCAATCTATTTTCACCCTGAGAACATGATACATAAAATACTAAACAGATGATATCATATCATTACCAAAATTGCAAGCCCCGAGTACTGGGGGATTGTCACAAAAACAAAAAGCAATAGGATATTAATGAAGAAGAATTGATTATCAAGATACAGTATTTGATGTGGCTGTCATCAGAGCATGATTTGAGGCTGGCTAGGCAAAAAATGAAAAACACTGGTGCACTCATTTGATGTATTGTGGAGAAATAATTGCAATGCAAAAGAAGACTGGACTGTGTTGGTATAATTGTAGTCTACCAAAGATATTACAATAGTGTTAAGAAAGATACTGAACTGGCCTGGTCTGATGAAATTGAGGCTAAAAAGGCCTATCTTAATAAAAATGAGCCAATTTCATTTCTTTTCAGTCAGCAGACAGGCAAGGGGATCACTTATTGAGACATATTAGACTTGTCACTGTCAAGAGAGAGAACAACATTTACAAGAAACTAACCTGTCCAATATTATTTGAAATCATACGTAAAAGGGACCGAGAGATATCTTCAGATCTGTAGTCTTCCAGCTCTTTATTATCAGAAATTGCCTTGCCAAAGCTGGATGCGATTGTTGTTGCTGATAGACCAATCTGTCATTATCCAAGGACTTTCATTAAACTGAATAACAATTGAGGCTCCAATTACATGCCTTCAGAGGGACATTTAAAGCTATAGATAGCAGCAATCATCATTCTAGACTAACATAAAGACCTTGCTGACTGTACCTTTGAATAGTCCATTCCACCATAGATATCACCAACAAGCATGTCAACAACTCTATTATTTCCTTGATGACTTAGCTCCAGTAACTCATCAAAACTGCAACACGAAGCATTTGTTGGCTTGAATGAAATAGTACAATAGAAGAAAACTATAAATACACTAGAGAAGTAACAAAATGGAATTACCTCTTGCATTTAGTTAAAAGCCTTCCTAAACCCCAAAATGTGCCCCCTCCTAGGTTGGTACCACTAACTCTCTCAAACTTGCCATCTCCATCTACCTACATGTCCAAAAGGCTTTTAGCCTTCGTTTTAGATATTAAAATCTTTTGATGTAGCCAATAGTTATGAAAAGTATACCTTGATCATACTAACACCAGAACCAATCTTAACAAGAAGATAGGGGTACAAATCGTTATGATCAATCTGCACAAATTCCTTATGACCATCCAAGTATGTGAAAGCTTCTTGTTGGACTTCCTACATTTAAGAAAAAATGCTGGATAAAATGTTTACAACGAACAAGAAATAATAGTTCTAATTAATATAGGACATGTAATGAAAATTATGATAGTTGTGTTACAACAGTGTGAAATACAATACATACCTCCTCCCCAGTAAAAAAGGAAAAAGAATCATACAAGCCTTTCCTTTATTTGATAGAAAAAAAATGATATCATGAATGGATGATTGTTTTCTTATTTAAATTATAAATACTGCTTATTCCCATGCCAACATCTGAGAAAAGAGGATAGAAAGTAGAAAACTTGAAAAAATCACATTTGAAGATAAGCATTATCAAAATCTCACCTTAAGCAGAAAGTTTGCACCGGTCACAAGGCAGTCCATCTCATCTTCTTTGTCAAGACTAATCCCAAGCTCTTCTTCGAAGAGGTTGGCAAACTTGTATGCCCCTCCGCCTGTGGCCTTCAAATAGATATTACTAGTTAATAAATAATTTCCCATTGCTAATAACTTTTTACAGTCTTGCTTTTTGAATAATTCTATGCAAGGATATTTTGAGATCCAACTTCCTCAGAATAATTTTACCTTAATAATGATCTTATTACTAGGAGTCTCATGATGCTGGAAACCTGAGTTTATTCATAGAGAGGCAAATCAGATGAGATACAGAATTATTGTGAGAATATAATGACACAATCAACTTCTGAAAACAATTCTAAGAAAAAATGAAAAAGAGCAATAATCAAGATGTTCATAATATACTCTTCCTAGAGTATGGCTCCTAATGTGACATGATTTTAGTAATTTCAAGGAGAATTCTACACAACGGTGCAAATATCACAAAAAACAAATGCATAAATACCACCAAGGTGAAGTCTGTAGCATCGAATAAACTCCAAGCAGTCATTTATCTTGCTTGTTTCAAATTTTGCAAAATGGAGCCTCCCTTTAAGAATAGGGCAACTGCCGTCACTGGAAACACCAAGACCCTCGTTAAGTGTCCTTTGCTCTTTATCATCTGTATGACTATTATCATTTCTTGAGAAATATACCAATTTGATTAGAGAGCCTGTCAACCAAATATGTTAATTGGTGTTACAAAATTTTCTCTTGAAGCACAAAAGGCATTAACTTCAACAAAGAAAAGCATTAAAAACATTGTAAGCATATGAACAGGTCAAAGAAATGATGCAGTCAAGCAAATTTATTGCAGCTTAGATTGGGACCTCAAAAATAAGAAAAGAAAGCCTTTTAATTCGAGTGTGAAAGCTGCTGACAGAGAGTTAATTTTCCTCTATTTAATGCTGCAATCAGTAAACCAGAACATATGCACGCGTAGAGAATAAACTAAAAGAAGCTAACTCTGGACACAGGAACCAGAGGAATACCGTGATTTGTGGCCTTCTAGACTTAAGGAAAGTGTCATGCTTTGCCTAGCTAGAACAAATAATCAAAACCCATTTTGAAGCCTGACTAGAACAAAGCAGAAACAGGCATAATTCATAGGAAACGACACTCTAAACTACTCAGATGAAAAAAATAAGTCCAGGACTGAAAAATTGAGGAAAACAAACACAAACCCTTCAAAATTGCCAAAATTTAGGCAATTAACAGGTGGGATCATGCACCCAATGCCCAGAAATTCCAGAAGAAGAGGCAGAGATTAGAAAAAAAAAAAAAAAAAACTGATCGAGAGTGAAGAAGATCAAACCTCCAATATCGAGGGCCAAATGAGATGCTTGAGGAATTTCTTCATTTCGAACCTCCGCCGGATCCATTCTCCCCTGTATCAGTGCGTTATCCCTTGAATGGAAGTGGGGTTCGAGTTGGGGATGAGGATTGAGCAATATAAAAATGCAGCTGCTTTGCATCTAACCCATTGTCTCTCTGGGCAAGTAAGAACAACCAATTGGTGGGATCTTATCCGACACCAAGACCCCCCAATATTTTTTGTCAAAAACAAAGATCAATATGATTATTGCATCAATGGTGCCTAGATGAAAAATACAGAACAGCTAGAGATTGGTTGCTTTTATTGTCCTTCCAGTCTTTTCATTTACTATCCCCATTCCCCACCTTTTCCATTTAACAGCATAACAGAATTTAGCGCCTCCTCTGTTTTCTTTAATGTGACGTGGATGTAAATTCCATTTCTTATGTTTTATAGGCTCTTTCATATAGTGGTTTAAGATTATTGGCTAATAATTTTATTTAATTTAATAAATAAAAAATTTAAATTAATAATAATAATTATTATTAATTGTCAAATTAAATAAAGTTAAAGATTATTAATTTTGAATTACCATATCAAACAATCTCTGTTAACGTAACTTGATTTTTGATATTAAACTGCTACACAAGCAATCTATCTCTCCATTTGCATGTCTTACAGGTAAAATTTAAGAGCTATGCTAAAAGAAAAAATGTAGTACTACACAGCTAAAGTGGTTAGCAATTGGCCCTGTATACTCAACATTTATTGTTTGGTATATTTCATTGGAGAGTTGGTACCTACCCCATTTTTCTGTCATAGGAGCCGAATTTGAGTCACATGTGTTGAGTGTTTGGTACATTTCGTTGGAGAGTTGGTAACTACCCCATTTTTATGTCATGCAAGTCGATTTTGGGAGTCCCATCCAAATAATACATTACTACTAAATTAATTCCTTAAATCCTTAACCGGGATGTTGATGATTTTAGTATGGTCATTGTACATTCTAGAGTTCAGATGTTAGCATAATATGTATTATTTTGGTAATATCATGGCAGTTAAATCACTTTGTAGATATTCCATCTACAATTTGATGAGTTGTCTGGCATCGTTGTGGTGCAGATGAAATCCTTTCTGTCAGTACTACCAGTAAGTTTCCTTGTTTCATGACGTTTTCCGTCACCGTATATGGAAGAGTTTTCAAATTTAGTATTTCAAATTACATGATCGAATATCAACTGCTTTTTTTCCTTAAAAAAAAAAAATTTATGGAGCTAGCGTAGTTGCTTATACGGTAGATTTAGACAACAGTGTCAAGAGATTTTAGTTGCTGATTCAAATTTGTGATGCTTTGTGATGTGGTGGTGATTGTTATTTGTCAACATACATCAACCATATAGATTGAGACAGTATAATGCATCATCATTTGCAACAGTAGCCTTGACAACTTCCTTCTTATTCCAATCTCAGTATGCATCCTCATCAAATTGTACATATCTATGAACACTAACTCCCCGGTTGCCATGTTATAAATTCTATAGCTTTTTGATTGTGTAGCATACCCCACAAATATACCAGGTTTTGCCTTTGCATCTAGCTTGGTTCTCTTAACAGATGGCACATAGCAATAACATATTGAACCAAAAACCTTTAAATGATTGGCAGAAGGTTTAAGGCTACACCAAGCTTCAATTGGAGTCATTCTTTCCACTGCTTTTGTAGGGAGTCCATTCAACAAATATACTGCCGTAGTCACAACCTCAACTCAGAAGTTCATAGGCAATTTCTTCTCATATAATATGCATCTTGCTGTTTCCATAATAATCCTATTCTTCCTTTCAGCAACCCCATTTTGTTGTGGAGTGTATGAGACTGTCAATTGATGAGCTATGCCAGTATCTTCACAAAACTTATCAAATTCAAAGGAGGTGTACTCCTTGCCATTGTCTAACATGAGAGTCTTGAGTTGACATCCACTTGTTTTTTTCAACAAGGGCTTTAAATTTCTTGAACACAAAGAAGACTTGAGATTTGTTACTCAATAAATAAACCCATGTCATCCTGGTAAATTCATCAATGAATAGCACAAAATAAACATTCTGGCTAAAAGATGGTGTCTTCATTGGCCCACAAGCATCCATGTGCACTAGCTCAAGCTTATGCTTAGCTCTCCATGATAGATTCACAAGAAAGGATTGTCTATGCAACTTTCCATATTGACAACTCCCACAAACATCATCATTCAAATAAATCTCTGACATGTCTCTAACTAATTCATTAGATTGCATGAAATTTAAGAGAGTTGACATTAAAATGTCCATATCTCCTGTGCCATAAGTCAGTGTTGTCAACTTTAGAAACATACACGGATTGTATCGAAGACTTCAAAAGCAATGGAAAACAATTATCAACCATATCAACTCTAGCCAATTCAACACCATTAGGATCACAAATGTGACAGGAATCATGCATAAATGATACTAAATAACCATTCCTCAACATCTAAGCTACATTAAGCAGATTCTGGCTCAATGAAGGTATGTAAAGAACATTAGAGATGTATTTGGTACCTCTCTTTGATTGAATAGCCACTATGCCTCTTCCATTTGATTGAACCATAGAGCCATTGCCCAACTTGACCTTAATCTTCACTGAACTATCTAGTTGTATAAAAAGGTCCTTGTCTTTCACCATATGACTAGTGCAACCATTATCAACAAACCATGAATGCTTGTTACTAGAAGAGTTACCATGAAGGGCCATAAACTAATGATCTTCACCGTAATCATCAGTGAAATGTGCTTGTTGAGTTTTTCTTTTTTTTTTCTTGTTTTGGTTTATATTGATTTGGCTTGGCTTAGCAGTTTCTCTGAATGTGACTGAACTTCTTACAAAACCTACAATGTACTTGAGGCTTTCCCTTATATCGCCAATTTTTTTTTTTTTTTTTTTTTTTTTTTTTTTTTTCTTGTTTTGGTTTATATTGATTTGGCTTGGCTTAGCAGTTTCTCTGAATGTGACTGAACTTCTTACAAAACCTACGATGTACTTGAGGCTTTCCTTATACCGCCAATTTTTTTCTTCATGATTTGTCCTCTTACAAGTAGTACATGGTGGAAATTTGTCCTTTAGCTGCTGTGATTGAACATCAATAGCTTTTCCTTTTTCAGCTCTATTGGGAGGCTACCTTCTTCCATGACTAGCTGCCTGTTGCTTTTCCTTAGCCTCAAATGCACCTTCAACTCCATCTTCAACTCTTAGGACAACTCATTGTTCATAAGCATGCAACTTGCCAATTAATTCGAGAACTATTGGCTCCTTCAAGTCACAAGACTTCTCAATTGTAGAGATTTTTGTCTCAAACCTGTCAAGAAGGCTCACCAACATTTTTTCCACAACCATGGCATCAAGAAAGTCCTCACCATTTAATCTAATTTTATTAACTAGATCCATCACCTTTGAAGAATATTGATGAACAATCTCTGTATCATTATCTTCGACATAGCAAACTCTCTTTTGGGAGTAACCACGTTCTAGCCCTTGACTCTTTCATCTCCTCTGTATTCCTTCTTCAAAGTTTCCCATGCATCTTGAGCTGTCTCAGCTCTCAAAATTCTGGGAAAAATTTCATCAAATACTCCACTTTGTATGAAAGACAAAGCTTTGTAGGATCTTGCAACATAATGTGCATGGTTCTTGATCTAAGCCAAACTTGGATTCTGAGGTAACTGTGGAGGATTAAAGCCCCTCTCTACTGATTCCCACACATCATTACCTCTCAAGAAGGTCTTCATCTTGATGGCCCAAACATTGTAGTTTTTGCCGATGAATAATGAAGGATTAGAAAGAGAGCTTCCATGGTTGTTTGAAGACATAGCTGTGATTTTTATTACACAGCACACTCCCTCACAGGCACTCGTGTTTCCACTCTCTCATAGGTCCCTCAAGAATAAAACTCTGATAGGACTTTGATGGAGATCAGAGGAGGATAAGCACAAAAAGCTCACTATAAGAGGAAAAACAGAGAAGAGAAATTGAGGGAAAACTTGGAAGACATGACCATACGTCGTCATTTGATATCATTGACTGAAATATGGAGCTTGCTTCTTACATTGTACAAACTTGAGTGGTTTTGACCACTATCTACCAAAATAAAAAAAGACAAATTACATCACATGGCTCCAATACATTTAACATAATCAAACCACTAGCTATTGAGTATCTAAATAAAATTCACTCTTCCATCAAAAGAACAATTTCAAGCCTCATCCTGTCATCCAACGGTTCAGACTTCTTTTTTTTTTTGATCGGCCCAACGGTTCAGACTTCTAAGGAGAATGCATCTCCCTTCTTGGTTTGCAAGCTCAAGATATTTCAGGTGCAATGGTTGAAGATTGTATCAAAGAAAAGTATTGTAGCTGTTATACAGACAAATGACAGAAACCCGAGAAAAGCAAAGAGACTGCACCTTTTGTATTTGAAGATGATTGCCTCCAACAACCATACTTTCAAGAGAAGGAATATGAAGGTGAGTACCGTGATGATTTCCTAGATTAATATTTGGATTTTGACATCATGCATTTCATTGAATCTTGGCAATACTTTCTAAGTCTTTTTGAAGTGGGTCGTTGCAGCATATACCTTTGGTAAGTATGGCTTAATGCCGAATCACTCATAAAAACAACCAAATTATGGATGATAATACACCTCCACATCCTGTGATACCAACGGATGTGAGCTCAGTTCTCCACAGGGACAGGAATGGGGACGAACTTCCTGTCCCTCTCCGTGACCCTTTCCCTCCTCATTGTCATCCCTAGAGCCAATACTGGTTGATTTTGGGAAGGTCCAGACTAATTGCATGCTGCCACATGTATTGGAAGACAGTGACAATCGTGAGCCACATGTATTTCTTGACGCAACTCTGCTTCCACACATTGGTTTAAAAATAATTTTCTATGCAATTTACACGTGTTTATGTTAGGCTCAGAATAATATAGTTTCAAAAGTATATGTGGTTATGTAAAAAGTCTATATATTCAAACAAAAGCCTTACATTCTTTTGCCAGTAGATCTTTATATAAGACAAAATACATTGGCAAATTATCTGTATTTTTTGAACCCTCAGTGTCTCACAACCAAAGAAAGGCCAACCAGCCTAAGAAAAGGTATATACTTTGAAACTATAGAATAAAAGGAAAAACAGAGGATAGGATAGAGATTAGCATCAAGTTTTTAAGACCCTCAAGCAGCAGAGGTTGCACGAATGTAGGAGATGGCTCGCTCAGGGATGGAAACCATGATTGATGACCTCGGAAACAATTCTCCCTCAGGAACAGGATTTTCTTCAGCCTTAAAATCAAGGGATTCGTCGTTGTAGATATCCCACCATTTAGCCACTAGCATCTTGATGTCTTCCCTGTCCATGTTATCCTCTTTTCCTGTATACCTCCATGGTTTAGAACCCTGTTTTGGGAACGAAAAGATTTAGATGAAATTAATTAAGAGAAGATTGATTAATTAGATTAATAAACTTGGTTTAAGATGGATGGATTTGGGGATAGAGTTAAGGGTACTTACAGCTGCACAATAGTGGACCACCTTGACTTTATCAAGCTCAACTTTCTCTGGGTGGCGCCACAACATAGCCAAAACCAGGTTGTATACGAGAGGGATGGGTTTGTACATTTTTTGGAAAAACATGTTCAAGAAGTCCTGTCATCAATTGGAACACAATAAAGTAAGATTAAGTAGCATTTTTTTATTAAATAATCCATAATTATTGAGATTTATTTGGCTTTAATTTGGAAATCTTTTTCCCTACTTTGATTTTTTTTTTTTTTAATTTGAATGAATTATATAATGGAGAATAATTCTCCATTCTTCCTAAATCTTTTCTTATCCAACTCAAGATTTAAATTTAAGATTTCTTATTTGAAATCTCAATTTTTAAACCATTTAGTCACCCTATTAAAGTTCTTCTATACTCATGCTAAAATTATGATTTATATTAATTCTAAATAGAATCATATGATATTTAATAAGAAATTTTGTTATATTATGAGATATTTAACATCATTTTAAATAAAAATGTAACTTAATACAAAAACAACACATTAACATGACATCTTAAAAGGTTTTTCCAAATACTTAGATTAAGAAATCTTAAATATTTATTAAATTAAATCAAATAAATGAAAAAAGAAGCATATAATAGATGATGGCTTACTTGCTCCGCAAATGGGGTTGGCGGGGTGACTTGCAGAGTCTCGAGGAGGTTCTCATAAGTCAAGCGGCTGGGTTCGAACACGAACATGCCAGCGTTGAAGTATAAAGAAGGAGGAGATCCCAGCTCCGCTGGCCAAGTCACCTTCTCAGGGCACTGCTGGCAGTAGCCGATGGAATACTGCAGCGAGTAGCTCCATATCTTCTCACAGTAGCAGTCCATCACGGCATAGAAGTAGCCGTCAGGTGTGTCGAAGAGATGGTCTATGTTGTCGAACACTTGGATATCCGCATCCAAATACACCATCTTGCTATACTCCTCGAACTGCAAAATATAACAAATGCATAGATCTGTATCAAATACTTGATTAGAGCTTACTGAACAAGAAATGACTCTTTCTCATCTCTTGATTCAAACTTAAAACCTCTATCCTAGATTCTCATGCATATGTCCATCAATGGGAAGGTAAATGTGTATGTATATGCGTAATTGACTTACATTCCATATCCGAAGCTTGGAGTAGTTGATGACGAAGTAGGCCACGGCGAACTGAGTTTGGTTTGCCGGCGGGTAAACAGGTTCGATCTCACGTATGATACATCCCTGAGCCCTCAAAATCTCACGGTGGTCCTCCGGTACATCCGGTAAGATTGCCACCACAAGAGGGTAGGCACTATTGGCCTTACGCAAACCTTTGGCCAATCCCACCACTCCCTTAACATAATCACCGTTGCCAGCTAAAAATGTCACGTAAGCCCTCTTTGAGTATCCAGTGTGCGGTATAGAAACCTTCCCGTTGCCGGAGAAGCCGTTCTCCCGAACGGTCGGGGCCATTACTGTAAATTTGGTGTTTAGGGGGTTCAAGAAGATTGATGGTGAGGAGTGTGGGGAAAGTAAACCAGCAACTCCCAAGATGAATGCTACCCTACTGACCTTGGTTCCTGAGTTGAACAATGAAACCATTAGCGTCGTTATATAGAAGTGAAGGGGAAAATTCTTGCCAAATGAAATTTAAATGAAACTGAAATGAAATCTCATTGTCGTTTTCATTTTTTTTTAATTATGTAATTAAATATTGGGGGTATAAAAAAATGAATGAACACCCTTTCTTCCAAACCATCATCTATCTTGCCTTAATCATCAAGATGGACGGCTATTATTTAATCTAGACTGAGGTCACAATCAATCAATTGGAGAGGAGATTAAATATTTAATTTACTATATAACATGACATGATCGAGTATCTAAATATTTAGATATATTTTGGGCTTATTTGTTCGGAAAGTAATGGTTATTTCTTGATCAAATTAGTATAAATTAAGGGAAAAATGTTTACTAGTCGCACCTTTATATAAATTAGATTAAAAATATTTTAAAATTATATTATTTTAAATCATTCACATTAAAAAAATAAAAATATTCTAATTTTTAATACACAAATGAGACTATTTTAATATTTTCTTTTAGTATTTTATTAAAACGATATAATTTTAAGTATTTTTTACTTAATTTTTTTATAGGTCTTGTTAATAAACATTAACCTCATAAACTAAATTAGAAGATCAATTGAGGAAAATGTATTCCCAACCATGTCTTTAAATAGGTATTTGGATATACACAGGGGCTTGTTTAGCCTTAATTATCTCTTAATTTAGTATAAATTAAAGAAAATTTTCAATCTTAATATAACCTATGTGTGTAAGCAGTCACATTGTGTAATGTAAGTAAAAATTATTTTTGTTTGCGGAAAGTGTAAGCATACATCAATATTTTCTTTAATAAAAATTCATTAGTTTCATTAATAATAAAAAATTATATAAAAATTCTAATAAATTGAGTTATAAAGGCATAAGAAAGAGAGCTAAACCTACAACATTAGCAAGAGATAATTTTGCTTGTAAGACAATTAAGTATAAAACCATCAATTATTAGAATTACCCAAGCAATTGCTACAAAGGAGCAAACGAACCTAAGAAAAAGACTGCCCAATTATACATGCAAAGCATATACATCAACAATTAAATACACATAATCTGCCATTTATATTGGTACATAAATTAAAAGTAAACCCTCAAAATTGCGAAAACTAATTATGTTGGCAACTTTAGAAGAAGAGGAATGGAGTGAAAGAATACATTATATGATGGGTGATTTAAAGGTTAGATCGGGGTTTTATCATGTAGGTGAATGCATATATAGATATAGTGATGACAAGAAGAAGAAAGTTTTTCTTTTTGCAGCGGTTATATTACATAAATCAGGGGTTTAATCTGGATAAGTTTGAAGGAAGGGGTTTGCTTAGGGTTGGACAATTTTCTTGTGCTTCATTCATTTTTTTTCTGTAACTTTTTAAGGTCTAGAGTCGAATGTTATCATGTCTATTAATAGTTCCAAACGAGAAAAATGAAAATTAAGATATTTTAATATTTTAAATGTTAAAAGTTTTTGTAAATTATTTAATATTCTTAATAAATTAATTTTTTATGTTAATTTATTAAGGATATTTTAATTGTTAATACCTCTTAATTTTTTTACAATTTTAATATTAATTATATAATAAGTTAATTGTAATTTGAGACTTATTAAAAGTGGGCCTGCATATTAATTTACATGAGTATGAATGAACGCAAACAAAATGTATTTTATTTATATGTGAAAATTTAATTTACTTATGATGTATACCACAAGATTTTCAACATCATGAAAGGCAATCCAAGTACAAATTGATTAAGGTGATGAAGAAGAAGCAGCATTAGTGAAGTGGGTGTGTATGTATATAAAATACGTACTTTTTTTTATGTTTTCTGCTTCTTTATTTTTTACAAAGAAATAAAAAATCAAAACGTTTTACTACTATTTTAAAATTAGATAAATAAACTTAACAGAATTTTCTTATATGTTAATAATTAAAGTATTTAAATCATTTTATTATTTTTTTAACATTCTAATTAATTATCATAGCGTCTTAATTTTTCAATTTTTTTCTTATTCTCACCTTTACTGTAGATGCTTATCCGTATTGCATTTGCTCGGATGGTTTTGGGCTCCACAATACTTAATACTTTATTCTATATACAGTTTGGTACTTCAATTTTTCAACTTTCTTGGAACATATTTTAACTTTTGTAAAGGTGTCGTAAACAAGACAACATTTACAAGATAATTGAAGAAGATGTTTGCTCGGCAACTTTTGGGTAATGATATATAGGTAGGAATGAGGAGAAATCAAGAGATTTTGATAATTGAAATATTAAGATTGATAATAAAAAATTAAAATAATTTTAATTAATTAATATAAAAAGTTTATTAAAAAGATTTAAATGATATTTCACAAAAAATAAATATAAAAAAATCTTAATTTTTATTATTTTCATATAAATAACTTATTTACATAATTTTTATTTATAATTTTCATATATTATTAAATAAATAAAAATATTTAATATCATAAA